TTTTTATTTTAGGAACTCCCGAAAGGTACAAGAGCTGTTTGGCTCGGTGTGACCTTGTGCCTGGCCCCGCCGCGCCGCCCGCCGGCAGATGTTCAATGTGTGTCGCCCTCGGGGTCGCGGCGGAAGCGTGCTATCAGTCTCACCGGTATTATGAGATATTATGAAGGTATTATGTGTCCCGTGTACTGAGTATTATGCGAGTTGGAGACCCCTCGGTGCCCGTGTGATGTTGTGATACCCGTGTGGATTCTTATCCATGGTCTACACCCCATCGAACAAAAGTGGTAAACAAATGTCTCTGAATATTGTTGCTCTGATTCTCACCCCAGAGGCCCGCGGGCCCCTCACGGCCTCCCCCACTAGCGCCCCCCGGGCCTCTCCTTGATGGATGGGGCTCACGCTGCGCCGGGCCACACCGCATGACATTGGCAGTCGTTAGGAGCAGCGACCTCTCTCCCCTCCCGCTCTCTTCCCTTCACTCTCTCTCTCTTCTTCTTCTCTTTCGTTCTCCCCATCTCTCCCTCTCTCTCTCGCGTACTTTGTACTTTGGGTAATGACGTGTCCTTTTCCTTTGTGCGCTCGCAATGTGCAGACCGGCCGCATCTGGACGCCACGGTGCGGTCAACGGACAGACAGATTTCCTGCCTGACATGCCGACCACCTCTCGAGACTCCCCGCCCGCCTCCTTCACGGGTCGACTTGTTGTTTACGCGATGACACCCCATTGGACACGACCAGGTCGGGTCGTCGGGCTCGGCCGGAACTCTGAAAACGACCGAGGGAGAGTCCTACTCATTGCAGCTTGGTAGGACACGAGATGTCCCTTTGTCATTGCAAAAGGACCACTATTGGGTGTTCACAGCTGTGCTCCGGGGCCCTGGAGAGTATCTGGTTCTGGACAGGGTATTCGGCTACCGAAAAGGTTTTCCGTGAGCACCGAGGGCTCATCACCGAGCAGCACACTTTCGCGAGTGCGACTCATGAAGCCATTTTCACTGTTGTATGTATATTTGGAGTGCTGATGCGTATCACGGCGACGTTCTTTGCCCCACCCCATCCTCTTTTTTTTCCTGCTCGTTTCCCGACGTGCCTTTTCCTTCCCTCTTCTCCC